CTTATCAATATAGGTATCTTATCTATTGAGTTTTTATGTAAACATTGCCCTGTTGGCATATGGCGGCCCGACTTCAACGTTCTTATGGGAATGTAATTCACAGTCGGCTATCTAGTTGTTTTATATGTCTATGAGTTTATCATATAAAAATTCTACTAACCTACTTATTAATGTCTTTCATATCTTTAATTTATTAATAWTGTTTGTTGATTTGTGACAGATATGCCAATGATCATAAAGACGTTGATCGAAATGAAAAGCAAAAACATTGGTGATGAAGATGACAATCTAATSTAACATTATGTTGTTTACTTTAAAATTTATTTTACTTTCCTTAAAATATTTACGTGATCTAGCTAGTAGTGCGATAGTATATGCAGCTGTAAAACTTAGTATTTGATACCTACCTACAGATATTTATTTTGAAATCAAATTGTTAGTGTTGATGTTAATAATATAATAGATACAATGATGAATGAATGAATAGTGTAATTATTTAATAATCATTATATAATTATGATAATAGAATAAAAAAATTATGGCTATATTTCGAATTATGCAAATGTATTATTATTACTAAGAATTGCGATAATTTAATTAAAATAAGTTTACTTCGTCTAAATGTATTCTTCCCCGATCTTTATAGGAATCCTAAATAATAATTTCCAATCAAACGGTTTTCTTATTTTGTTGTAATTCAAATAAATAACCATAAGTATCATAMGTACTTGATATTTTCACCAAATTTTTAATAAGCTTTTAAAATATTTTAAAATATTTATTATGATATTATCGATTTTTTGATTAATGTTTTAAATATATCGGCACAATAATATTCACTCTGATAAAAAGCTTGAAAGTTTAATACATTTGTATCATTGTATCAAAATATTGTAAACAAAGTAAAYCTCATACGATGCTATTTTAGCTAATCATAAATATTTAAGATACATAATAATAAGTGAGATTTAAATTATAAACATTTAATTCATTTAACAAGTTAAAATGTCCCTGAAACCACAAAAATTTGGAAAATGTATAAAATATTAGTGTTCAATTTGTAAAAATCTAAGACTTCAAAGCGTAATAAGAATCTTTATATGCCTTATATAAGTAAATTAAATTTAAATATTAATAATATATAATAGGTACTATAATATTACGCATATACTGTTTAAGAGAAATTTTAAAATGACACTTTATTTAATTGTTTATATTTTATTAGGATAAAAAAACTTTTTTCCACTCATTTGACAAAAAAAAAAAACTGTATCACACATGTTTAGTAAACTTCAACATTTTCTTTAATATCGTATATTGAAAGTTTTTTTTATCACCTTAAGATGTTTTAGAATATAATCAAAATTTTATCAGAAATGTTTACTACTATAATAATATTACCTCGGTAGCTGCAAATAATCATCTGTAGACTAAAKAATATAATTTTTTTTTTTATATTAGAAATTTACAATCTGTTATTATCGAKGACTATAAGCAAATGTGCATAGAGTAATTTACATGAATATTTTGAGGGAAGAAACTACCTATTAGTGACACTACCTATTTTGAGTTTTTTTTTTTTATAGGAATATAATGATATGTTTTTTATAACGGTGAAAATCATTACTTTTAAATGATATTTGATTTTGGTTGAACCTTCAGGTGGTCCAAAAATAAGGGTATTTTTAATTTATTGTGAATATAATACTTTTTATAAAATATTTATACCTTTAATATTAACATTAAAATATTATTATAATTATTACACGGCGCGTTAAGTAGGCAATTTAGGTACACTTTCGCTGTRAGTGTTATTCCAAATTTAGAWAAATATTACAAYAACAAGTACAGCCCAGTGGCGTTTTCAACAAAAGGTAAGAAATCTTTTGCTTGAATTTCGAATGGAAAAATAGCCTATATGTCACACGAGTTAATCAAAAAATATTATATACCATGTCCGAATTCATAAAATATACATAAAAAATATACATACATTTATTTTATTTTKCCTATTTTGGAATATTTTAAGCATTTTACATTTAAAGTACTATTTTCAATACTAATCTGCGTAATATGTTAATTTAAAAGCAAACAAGAAAAAAAAGTATCCGAATAAATAATAAAAAATACTATTAGCTCTCGTTTTATAATATAATTTATTAAACATACCAATTAATAATTACTTTTAAATTTTAAATACAAAATAATAGATTAACACTTTTTTTTAAAGTTCAAACACAGTTCACTTACTTGTTTGTGTATACTATGTAATTTGTTGGTTATTATTAAAAACAGGATACACTTTAACTCAGTTTCTTCTATTACTATTACTCAGTAGGTACTTTATATATTTTTGAATCCTACTTGCGAGGCATGAGACTTAACTATGGAATCATTAATTCCTATCACTTACAATATTTAACTTATGCATTTTTTGCATGAGCAACAACTTAACTTTCTTGTGTACTATGTTTTTATAGACATATAGTATAACAGGAGCTATGAATTTATAACACACGGTCACTGACAACTACCCTGTCTTACCACGATGTTCGTGACCTAACCGAGTAAGTGAGCAAAGTTCGTTATTGTCMCTGCGCTTTTCTTAGCTATTAGGAATGATTTTCTGATAGGTAAATGATCGAGCTGAACAAGCATTCCAATGTCATCGTCGTCAAAAGTCATTTTTTTTTTGACATTTATAAATTATTTAGTTTTAAAAATGTTTAGTATTTTTGAACATTTTACTCAAGGTACTTAAAATTTTAAGATTAAATAATTTTACCACTCCTAGCTAAAAAATGATAACGACATATACAAAAATTATACTAACCTTTCGAAATATATTTATTACTCCGCTCTCGATGTAAAAATGTTCCTTCGCGTCTTATTARTTATTATAACATAATAGTTCTTTATTAAAGTTATTATTCATTAATTMATTATACATATATTATATTAAATTATAATATTATAATATTTAACCATGCCACTTTGGTTATTTGTATAAATTTTTTTTTTCTTTTCGTATCAATTATTACACTCGATAATGGTAAATCATTTTAATAACACAATACGAAACCTGGTAATCTAAATTTCTATTTGTGAATCATATAAAAACATGATTCATTATTAAATGAATACAATAMAATTTAATGGAATAATCATGCATGTCCACTAAATCTTGTTTAAGTAATCATTATCTCATTATTGATTCAATAAATGTTTAATGATTGTTCATGTGGCAATGCGTATAATACACAAAATAGGTATACTAAATTTTAGCTGATTACTGTTATTGAGTTATATATTGTAAARTAATATTTAAAGTAATTGCTCGTTATTCAAAAGTTATTGAAAGTTGTAACTATAGTAAATTATTGCCTATCTATAATTAACTTACGTCACRACTATATAAAATCTAGTGATTGGTCGAACCCTGATTTTTAAAATCGAACCGAACTTGAACCAAACTATAAATGTTTTTTTCGAACCCGAACCGAACCTAGAATTAGTTTAAGTCTAACTAGAACTCAACATATTTATCATTAGTTAATAATTATATATTATCATGTGAAATTACTAATTGTTCAACTGAACCAGGACTAAGTCTATGTCTACTCTTAATAGTATAATTTGTCTTGATTTTGAGAACATGCGCTCAGAGCAAACGGACGTGGCAACCGGCGGGAATATCTATAGGTCCTAGATATTTTATTCCAACTGGTAATAAATTTGGGAATTTAGTTTGATTATAGCTACACCAAGTTAGAGGATTTAATGTTGTACCGTTTCACATGATTTTATCGACRGTACAGGCGTACAGCCGTGGTATAGAAATATTCCACGGGTTTATCCAAAATAGATTTTACCCTCTACAATAAATWTGATGAAAACAAAAATAGGAGTATTATGAGGTTTTAAGATATCTCGGCGAAAGAGATTACGGTGAAACTTTTTCGGTGAATGTGTATGTTGGCGTCGTTGGCGAATGAATGCATCGGCGAACGGGTATGTYGGCGAAATTACATTAAACGCAAATATTTAAATATACGTAACATAGAGTTTGCTTATTGTAATTTAATACGTTAATGAATTCCTAACCTACAACTATTCTCCATTACTTTTCCTATTTGCTTATTGTACATATTTTGCTACACAATTTTGTACATTTTCTATTTTAATATAAAAAAAAAAAAAAATGTGTTATTGGTGGAGATAGCACTGCAGTCACGGGTTCAATCTTTAATTGTATTTTCGATTATAATGTGGTTATTTGTCCGATAATGCCATAACGATAACTATATCGTCTATCAGTCAAACTGTAATAACCGATTGGAATGTGTTTTAAAGTTACAATGTGTTAGTGATCAAGTTGAAATCAAACGGTCCACGTTCCATTGTTAAATACTGTGTTATTTTGTCACTATGTTATTTTTTATTAACTATCTGTACATTAACGATTAGATCGAAACCAACATTGGTAGACGAAAGTAATTTTTGCTACATTATAGATAAACCATATAACGGAAAAGTAAGTTAAAATTATATTATGTTATTGATAAATACAAAGTATAAAATCTGTATATGAATACTCGTTTAAAATATTATGTTTTTAGATTCTGAACGAAGTGATGAATGTATTGATTTTACAATGATGTGTTTTTTTTTATTTTATTTTTTTTTATTTTTGTGTCTGTGTACAGCATAACTAGTCGAAATAATGCTTCGATTTCAAACTTTGGGGGTGGTTTCCGATGTAAAATTGAAGATCCTTGGTGCATTATACAGGTCAAAAGTAAACATTTTCCAACAGTTTTCAAAAA